ACGACTGAGTTTGGGCACCCCTGCTATAGGTGAATTGGGTAGGCTAAATTATCTGTAGTTAATGAGTGTATATGGGTTTCCCAGTGATGGGTTGCGGCTGGAAGGGCATACTCTGCGTAATCCATGTGCTGGATAAGTTGCCGGTTCATTCCGCTGTGGCGACCCCTGATTAATAAAGGGACTAAGCCAAAAGAAAATGAATGAATGATTCTTGTGGTATTATTTATTTCTTCACTACCTTTTTTATTTTTATTTTTTGTAATAACTATGTTACATGGAACGGGTTGACCTTCTGTAAGAATCAATCCCTGCTGAAAAAAGCTCTGCTTAAACCAGCCTAAGCTGGTTGGCTGGTTTTAGCTGAATGGCCAGCCTGGTTTTAAAGGGGTTTTGGCCATTCCATGCTTGTTTCCAGCAATTTCCAGCCTCGTCTTAGATTCCAAGTTGGAAATGGTTGGAAATCAGACTGGAATGGCCAAAACCCCTCTAAAATCAGACTGGTTGCCCAGCTAAAACCAGCCAAGCTGTTTTTTTCACCAGGGAAGTAAATATTTTTTCTTATTTTAGCCACAGCTTTCTTTTAAGTTTGTTGGGCAGTTAAGTTTATTTCTTTTTAAAACAATAATTCTACTAAATTAGTTTGTGTGTGTTTCCTCCAGTTCCTCCGGTTTCCCTCACAATCCAAAGACATGTGCTATAGGTTAAATGAATAAACAAAATTGTCCGTAGTGTATGAATGTGTGTGTGAATGATTGCATGGGTGTTTCCAGTACTTGGTTGCAGCAGGTCGGGCACCTACTTTGTAAAACATGCTGGATAAGTTGGCGGTCCATTCTGCTGTGGCAACCCCTGATGAATAAAGAGACTAAGCTGAAGGAAAATCATGGAACAACATGAAGAAATTGAGTTACTTTTAAGTTTTTAAAAAATTAAGTGGATTAAACATAAAACAATTAAGTAATCACAAAAACCCTCAAGAAATGTGTTGTCTCAGCTCATTTTAAATAAGTAACTTGACCAAACAACAAACACTACTTTTAATGTAACATATTATAACATCCTTTCAGTTGCATTGCATCCATTTAATCACAATATGCATGATTTTCTTTTTCATTGTATAAAGTTAATATTAATATTAAATTGTACTAATAAAGAGGTCAAAGTCTACTCTGCACAAAATATACATGTATAATATAGTAATTTGAATTCATGTAGTATTTATTTAAATGTTATTCTTTCCTAACATCATAGCAGGCATAATTCCTGACATAATTGTTGAACTGATTAAAGAATAAATATAATAAACAGAGAATAAAAGAGCATTTAATTGTTTTCTATGAGTGAATCCTACAGAAACCATCTCAAATATGAAGTAATGAAAAGACTTTATTTATTGATGTGTAACCCTGAAATGATCTAAGTCGTATGTATGTGCTAAGAGCCAGTTCTCTGACTAGACTCTCGATCTAACTCAAAATATAAATTAGACGCTATTGTGAGAGGAGATATTTTTAAACTACTCTTGCGTCAGTTGACATCAGTACATTGTACTCATGATAGCTATAAAAACAAATATATCATTCAAATACAAAATCGGTTGACTGAAGTTAAAAATACAAAAAAAGACAAACCTTTAGATAAACTTTGTTTGAAAGCCGTTGGTGAAGAAAAAACACAACTGCTTTGACATGATAAGACATATTTACTGTCTTACATTTAATGGCTTGTAGAAATGAAGCCTGCAGCTATTTTATTTGTCACACCCAAACTGCCTAAGCAGCTTCATGATGACTTATTTGATGTTAATTAATGCATGTAGCAAGCATTACTTGGACAGACTACAATTGGACAAACAAAATGTTGTTTTATTTAAAATGTAAAAGATTTTTGTCTGTAAAATATCTGTTGTTAAAGTCGTTTTAAACTACTGAAACTCTTACTCTTCACTTGCAAGTATGTAAGATCACTATTTTTTAAAATAATGAGACACATATTCATATGAATATCAAAATATTGTGCAAAAAAAACAGGTATTTCCTTTGCATAATGCTGCAAATGCAAAACAAAAATCAATTGTCACACATCAGTTTTATATGAATTAAACAACTAACAAAATCTTTAGGTTTTGCTGAAAAGCATAGTTCAAACTAGCCCACATTCCTTTCAAACGCTTTCTATGCAAAACCTTTAAAATTTAGCTTCGAGCAAGCTTTTCGACAGGTGAGAACATGTCTTTTCTCTCCTGCTGCATTATATACTCCTATTTCACAGAAGAAACAGGTTACTTGAGATCTGCAGACGTGGAAGTCGGTAACAATGAATGTTTCGCAGGAGCAAACGGCCTCACACAACTTACCTCCGATTCTTCAAAAGAAGAACAAGTTCACTGCGACAAACATGTATCAGCGGACCGTTCGACTGAATATCAGCGCACCCACTCAAATTGTGCTTGCCATTGGGACGGAACTTAAGGTGATGCTAGACAGGTAGGTAATACAGTAATACTCGAGGCTAAATATATCTTTCATTCCATTGTTTAATTGGTTATGAATTGAGAAAGTGCAGCTGTTGTCAAATCCATCTGTAGTGTGCAAAAACTACATGTTGGATTTATTTTTAATATAGCATCCAGGCATACAAAATGATTAAAGCATTTTAAATTAAAAGATTGTAACAATTTTAACAGAAGTGGTTTCAGCTGCCTAAATTTCTAATAAGAAAGCAACTATAAACACTTTAAAAGTAACCCTGTAGTCTTAATATTGTGTCCATTTATATGGTACTTAGCATTTATAAGGCATATTTAAAGTCTTTTTTTTGTAATACCACATGAAAAATAATGTAGTATTTTAAAGTAAACAATAATAGGTGTTTTTGAACCATATACTACAGTAAAGCACTTAAGTTAACCTGTCTAGTTGTCATTTTTTTCCACAACAGTATATTACACTACAATTCGTGAAACCTAAAGTACACTACTGATATTTATTACAGTTTATCAGTTTACTATTTGTTACAGTATGCTGTAGCAAAGAGTCGTAAATACTAAATTTCATTCATTCCTTCATTTTTATTTCGGCTTAGTCCCTTTAGTAATCTGGGGTCGCCACAGTGAAATGAACCACCAACTTATCTATATGTTTTATGCAGCAGATGCCCTTCCAGCTGCAACCAATCACTCGGAAACATCCATACACTCCTATTCACACACACATACAAACTACAGACAATTTAGCTTACCCAATTCACCTGTACCGCATGTCTTTGGACTTGTGGGGGAAACCAGAGCACCTGGAGGAAACACACGCAAACACAGGGAGGACATGCAAATTCCACACAGAAATGCCAGCTGACCCAGCCGAGGCTCGAACCAGTGACCTTCTTGCTGTGAGGCACTGTGCAGCCCCAAATACTAATATATGCAGTATAATACACTACTATAGCATGCTTTAAAAACAACAGTATATTGCTTTTGTATTTTGTTAATGTGGGATAAAACAATGAAATGATTGAAATGATTGCAAATATTGTACTTATGGCTGGAAGTGGGGTATAAAGTGGGGGACAAAAACTGACTGGGGAACAGCTTTTCCCCTTTTGAACTCTGCCCCCCCCATACACCCCACACTCTCCTCATAACTAGGGTCAGACAGAATCTGCGGACATTTTTTGCAGAATTTTGTAAAAATTCTGCGAATTTACGCGAAATTATTTTGGTAGTATCATAATTAAAAACTTAATATATGAAATAAAAATAATTGCTTTTTAACTTTTATTTAATGTTTACAATGCAAATCCACATAGATCCACTTTATTTGGTAAACAAAGCAAGTCTATCATATAATATATCCACTAAAAGACAGAAAATAGGACTTTACAAACTGTATTGTAAATAAATCATATGAATATTTTCATATTAGTCAACAATATTACTGAAATTAAATTAGAAACTGAATAAATATAAATGTACACACATTTACACAAGTATACTTAGATACAATGATGGGCTAAAATCTGCGGATTTCTGTGTCTGTACATTCCGCGTGGGCCTACTCATAACTTACACTCCCCATAAACACTGCATTATTTATGGTTTATTTAATATTTGGACATGTAAAATTGCACATATTAATCAACTACATTGCAGTATTTTATCTTGAATTCTACCCACTGTACACATACATTTTGTATATTTATAATTATATTCAGATCTATTTGCACACTTCTGATTATTAATAACAAACTTCACATATATTCAACTATTGTAAATCTCTGTTCATAGTTATTACAACCTGTATATGATGTTCATAGTACAACCATCTGTAAATATCACCATCGTTTTTTATAATTCCCCTTTATTACTTACCTAAATTCTGCACTTGCTGCTATTGCACTCCTGGGTTAGACCTAAACTGCATTTCGTTGCCTTGTACTTGTACATGTGTAAGGACAATAAAGTTGAATCTAATCTAATTTAATTATAATAATAAAAAAAACAGGCAAATGATTGTACATGACAACAATCCAGATAGCAAAATCTGTCTGGCCCACCTCTGTTTGGCCAAACCATGCTCTTGTTTTAGTTCTGGTCCAGTTCTGACGGTGTACCCGGGCTAAAAGTGGCCCACACACTGAAAACAGACACAAAAAACAATAAATAATGACTCTAAACGGAATTAACAAATCCAATATATTTTTTGAATGTTAAATAATTATTAATCTAAAGGCAGTTACACCATAAAAGAAAAATATAAGAATTACAACTTAATAAAAGCCATCCATTCATACTTCAGCAACTAAAATGTACACGAAAAAAACACACATAAGTTACACAAGCCGTAACAGCGCCCTCTGCCGTTGAGACCAGGCGTTTCACATTAAGTTGTGGCGTTTCCAGTCAACTGAAGGCTTCCTAGATTCCCAGGCATCATTCACCTGTTTTCGCCTGTCAATTGACTCCGTGATACGGTCACATATCGTGTCCATAAAGGCTTAAAGGCAAGCAGGAAGACTGTGACTGACTCTTCACTAATCATGGTGTCCCGTCGATCTCTTACTATTGACACCGAGAAAGCGACCAAGACGACATATGTGCTCGGAACGACGTTAACGGTGAACTTAATCAGGTGGGCGAGTTTATTTTTCATATATCATGACAATTAACACTTACAAGTGTAAAACTTTGTTATAAGTAAACGAGCATGAACACAGGACGAGTTAATGCAATATGATTATAACCGCGATACGCCTCAAGGGAAATAAGTCTACTTTAATAGACCGAAATACACATTTAAAGGGGCAGTTCACTCTAAAACGCTTGTTGTTTCAAACTCACTGTCTTTGTTCTGTGAATAACAAAAGGGTGTATCTGACAAACGCATCTCCATTGACTTACATTGCATCTTTGTTTCGTTTGGTGTAAGTGAATGGTGGCTCAATGTTAAACATGTTGAGGTAACGTAAAGTTGGTTTATGTACGCACATTTGTTCAGTGACACCTTGTAACAGGCTCCCTATATTGTTTACCAATGTACTTTGAATATTCGACTGAGGTAAAGTTGGTTTTATATTCACACATTTGTTCAGTGACACACTTATAACACACTATATTGTTTACCATGGTACTTTTATTATCAAATCTAAAATCACATGAAAGTATGATTTCCTAACAATATAAGCGCTATTTATTTGACTGTGAACAGTGTTATACTTTGATAGTCATTGGTTGCTAATTTAATTTCCCTATAGATATAGAATTATAATATTTTTTTTCTGAAAATACATTAAGGAGAAAGTTTGAATATGTGAATAAAAACCACCTTTACTTCAGTGTTAAACATTGTGATATAACACACACACACACACACACACACACACACACACACACACACACACACACACACACACACACACACACACACACACAGTTTTATACATCCTGTAGATGTGCATTTCTGCTAGTCGTTTTAATAAGGTTATCTTTATTTTCAACAGTGCTTTTGTTCAAGCTCAACTTGACTTTTACTATGAGCACTCAGATTTTTAGATAGTCAAGCAAATTAAAAAGTACTACTGTCTGTTGGGTAAGTTTTGTTTAGATTAAATGAACATAATTAAGGAGTCTGGGTTGGAAATAAAAGGATTTGTTTCAAAATGACCGTCATTACTTTGACAAGTGTTATTATAGACCTCTGGAAACTCAAATATGAGTCAGTCTTAACACAATGTCTGTCTGATGTATGTATACAAACGTAAACCAATAACGAAAATCTCACAGACAGAAGAGAGAAATGTTGCTCACACAGTAAAAAAGCTGCTGTTTTATACGTTTAATCATAAAGTTTATCTAGGAAATGCTAACAAAGTCATCCTTGAATTAAAAGAGGCTCTGTCATAAGATGTTGTTATGTTTGTTGGAGAATTCAGGGCGATTATTTATTTAGGAATTTCTCCTTTCAGATCTAGCGGTGGATGAATGCAGTTGTTGTGCTGCGACATTATTTAAATTCATCACTGAACTCGGCATCAATGCTTCTGTTTGTAACACCCACTGTTGGCTATTGTCTCTGATAGCTGTCCAGACCGACTGACACGTCTTTTCTGTAGTGATTTTAAGAAGGCTTTTTCTATATTTGTTAGTCCATGCTGAAATAGACAATCCCTTGGCAACCTCATGATTGTTCAGTCAGCGTTTGCTATCTTCCAACAGAACTGAATCATATAAATGCATTATTCATCATCTACTAATGCAGTCATTTTGAAATTTCGGCTGGTGACATGTTATGTTACCTATATGCTTTTGTAATATTAGATATGAGGTAATACTATTACAACAATTTTCAAGGAATGAAATAGTTTAGATGGAGTTAATCATGTTATACCGCTCTCATCTCATGGCAGCTACATTCACACTAGCCAAATTAAATTGAATTAAAAAAGATTTCTTTGAAAGCCTTTCTAGATTTTTATTAATATTGTCTGTTGTTCTATGTTTTGCTTTAAGGTATAGTTATAGTTAAGTATAGTAAAGGTATAGTTAACCCAAAAATGAAAATGTTCTCACCATTTACTCACCCTCAGGTACATATCTTTTTACGTTTCTTTCTTCTGTTGAACACTAAAGAAGATATTTTAAAGAGAGCTGAAACCTGTGAAAATCAAATACTATGGAAGTCAGTGGTTACAGGTTTCTTACATCTTCCACTGTGTCTTCTAATGTGTTCAACATTTTCACCATCATACCTTCAAGTACATAAATGAAGTAATTTATTTGTAAAAACAAACAAGTAAATTGTTTCAACTCTCTCTTTTCTATGCAGAATTTTTTTTGGTAGAAATTTCAACATAAAAATAGAGGAAGAAAAAAAAGGAAACATGACGGTTTCTTAAAAATAAAATCTAATCATGTAATTTTTCTTAAGACGTAATTATATCCTAAAGATTTGTTGATTTATTGTTTATTATTAAAAAAAAAACTTATATTCACCAGGCCAGCATTTATTTGTTAAAAAAGCATAAAACATTAATATTTATATAACACCGGGGCGACACGATAGCTCAGTGGTTAGCATTGTCGCCTCACAGCAAGAAGATCATTGGAGTCCCAGCTGGGTCAGTTGGCGTTTCTGTGTGGAGTTTGCATGTGTTTCCCATGTTGGTGTGGGTTTTCTCCGGGTGCTCGGGTTTTCCTCACAGTCCAAACACATGCGCTACAGGTGAACTGAATAAACTAAATTGGCCGTAGAGGATGAGTGTGGATGGATGTTTCCCAGTACTGGGTTGCAGCTAGAAGGGCATCCGCTGTGTAAAACATATGCTGGATAAGTTGGTGGTTCATTCCGCTGTGGCAACCCCTGATTAATAAAGGGACTAAGCCAAAGGAAAATAAATGAATGAATTCTATAACAACAATTTTCCATTTGAATAGATTTAAATATGTAATTCATTTGGTGCTGATCATTACTATAGTCTTCAGTATCACATGGTCCTTCAGAAATATTAAGAATGCTAATTCATTTTTAGAAATGGTTTAATTTTTTTGGTAAACCATGTTTTATATGAATTTATAATTTTAATGATTTTCATTTTATGAATTAAAGAAAAATGAATAAAAATAAATAAAATTAATAAAAATAAAAATGGCTTATTCAGTCGGCGCAGTGGTTAGCGCACCGACATATGGTGCAATAGCACGTCAGTTCGAATCCCGGCTCGAAGACATTTCCCTACCCTACCCCCCCAAAAAGGCCTTTATTAATCAGAGGTCACCACAGCAGAATGAACCGCCAACTTATAAATACGGATAATCTACAAAAATCCCCCCCCCAAGCCAATCCGAATCAAGAATTTCAACAGACTATGGAATAGAGTGGTACAATTGCCTTTCTGGACAAGTTATTTTAAAGACATGTCTATAATGTGTCTGTGTTTATATATTCCCATTCCAGATGTGCTCCACCACAATCCAAGTCCTTCTCAATAAGATGCACCCCAAACGTGCATTACAAGATAACACCTCCAATCACAGACAAGAATGCCCTCCCATATCCCCTCGGGCCAAACACCATCCTCCTCATCACCATGGACACAGTCAGTGAAACTGCATTCGACAGCAAGGTAAATTCAGTGAATCACCTTTGCGCTCTGAAAACTATTGACATTAAGAGCAAACACAGAAAGAATGTGTGGAAGTTTTCTGTGCTTTCTACTTCTGCAAATCCTAATGAACGCAAACAATGTGATAGAATGTTTGAAACTGGGCATATACTTTGCATAGATATTTGCATAGATATTAGTTCTATAAAAAGGAACTAAAAACCTTAACTTGACAGACAGGAAAGAGCTTGACTTGTTAGTTATTCAGTAACAGTGTGGTTGACGCTGGTATTAGTCTATTGAGGAAACTGAGGTTTGCATGTCTCACACTACTTTCACAACACTGTCTAGCACTGGCAGTTAATTCTGCATATGTCACACATATTTTAATACAATCATTATCATGCCAAAATGAATCTGCTGTAATTTTCAAAGAAAACCATAATAATTGCACAATAATTGTTCTAATGATCCAGCTCATCCTTGTTTCTAAGAATCTGATTGATTTCAGTTGTCTGTGAGATACTACGGTGAGAAAACGGAGACGCTTGGGGACGCCATACTGCATCTTACAGCTGTTGGTATGTGTCTGCTGTGTGTACATTGCACTTAATGTGAGACATACGCCTATATTTATGGCTAACGCTTGTGTAAACGGAATCTGTGGTGCAACTATAAACAGTCTTATGATGCTGGCATGACTGTGACCGAGCGAGTCTCTTAATTCTGTTGTCTGTGTTCTGTTGCAGAGATATCTCTGGATGTAGATGCTGACCGAGATGGTGTTGTTGAGAAAAACAATCCAAACAAGGTGAGCTTTGTTTGTGGTCAGTCCTGTATCATAATTAATAGGGAGATTAATTTTTGAAGCTTTGTTTCTAAGTTGAAGATGGGGATCAAGAAGTCAGATAAAATAGTTAGTTGATAATAATTAAAAAATTATTAAATTAAATTATTAAATAATTAAATAGTTGATTCTAAACATCTCGTCCTGATGGCAAAGACAGTTTACCCAAAAATACAACAACAGTCTTGTTTCCAGCCTGCATAATTGAACCGTTTAAATGCATTTACAATTTTACAATGTTCATTTTGTTAGTGCACATTGTTGTTCTTTAAGCGAACAATTAATCCGTCCAAGTTAATCCACTGAAAAAGTCTATTTGTTGTGTTTGGAGTGGTGGCCCTGCACTGTTTATGCAGCCACAATATTCTTAACCACTCCCCTCTTATTATTAGTTTGATATGAGAGAATGATGCGTAGCAAGAAAGTCCCGCCTCCTACTCAATATTCCATTTTAGTGGCATTCAGTTCCATTTTATTTCAGACTGCATGGGCACATGTAGTGTTTTATTATGCTGTGGTTACACTAGAGTTTGTGCTTGCGAAATTCTGTTGTACGGCACTGCGAAATAGGGCGGGATTAAACAAAATGATTAGACATTAAAAAAAGTGAGCGTTTGGTTCACGTTTTAAATTTCTGTCCAGAGAGATTATGTTTTGATCTTCGATTGGTCTCACGCAGGCGACTCAGTGGCGCAGTAGGTAGTGCTGTCGCCTCACAGCAAGAAGGTCGCTGGTTCGAACCTCGGCTCAGTTGGCGTTTCTGTGTGGAGTTTGCATGTTCTCCGAACGATTGGTCCACGTTAAAAAAATTTCAGTCTCCGGTTTCCCCCACAGTCCAAAGACATTTGGTACAGGTGAATTGGGTGGGCTAAATTGTCCATAGTGTGTGTGTGTGTGTGAATGTTTCCCAGCAATGGGTTGCGGTTGGAAGGGCATCCTCTGCGTAAAAACATGCTGGATAAGTTGGCGATTCATTCCGCTGTGGCAGCCCCGGATTATTAAAGGAACTAAGCCAACAAGAGAATGAATGATTGGTCTCACGCAATCATGAGATGCGATTTCGCTGGTCAGAGTTCACCAAGCTT